ATAACTATTCAGCTCGCCATAAGTGGAGACACAGTATTTGGAGTCAATTCATGTTGAAAAAATGGGCACACCCTCGGAGCTTGATAGCACTTGTTTGGAGTCCTGGAGCACTTGGGACCATGAAAAGCTAGACAGTCATTAATAGGAAACCCCCAAGTTTGTAACTTCTAAGGACTATCTCCATATGCCCCTTACCTGAATAATGATGTTCATGTGTCAAAAATTTATGATAAAATTACTAATTTATTTTTTGTACAACCTTTCTTATACCCCCCAAAGAACATGTAAATACAATATAAGAGTTCATACAACTGGAGCCTATAGTATCTTTTTATTTCATATTGCAATAAACAAAATAATTAGAGCCTTTCTATCCATGAATCTCTCGCCCTCTTTTTTTCTCTCTACTCTTACACTTAACCCAACTTTTTTTTCTCAATCTCATAGTATTTACAAGTTAGTTTCATGTTTCGACCACAAACACATTTGAATTATACAACTGAAGTAAAAAAATGCGATATAATATTAATTTAAAAGATAAATCAAGAGGCGAGGAAAGTAAAAATTTGATTTTAAACTTATTTATTTTCTTATCTTTGACATAAAATCAGAGACATATCTTAACTTGTTTAGAACTAACAAATAAAAATTTTATTATTGATTTTCTTATTTTCTTATTTTCTTATCTTAAACAATTTGGTAAATAATACAGAGAATAACTAATTTTTTTAATGTGAAAAAGTAATAAGGAAAAATTTTATTGGCTAATGTAAAGAATTTAATTGTCGTGGCATCATATTCTAATTAGTGTTGTTGATTGTCGTAATTATTACTAGATTAATCGTGTTTGTGGTGTTTTTTTTGCGAGAATGAGTGTTGCAAGCCTTGTAGTCAATCCACAGATAATAACAATGCATGTATAAAAGAAAAAAAAGAAATTTAAGCCAATCAAAATTAATGGCTACTACTAATGAGGACACGAGGCTACAAACGAGTATTAGCTAATTGAAATGCTTGAGTAAATTTTATTGAAGATGCTTGCTTTTCATCAATGAAAGATGGAAAATTTTAAAGGATTAAAATTTGTTTAGAGAACTCGCTTTATTTTTAAATATTTATAAAAAACTTGATAGTATTTAACAGAAAAGATATAGATTAGAAGACGAGTATATAACCTGATAGCCATAACATACAACGACGAGAAGCTTCAAGAAAGATCCCAAAATAGTATTAACATAGATGAAAAGTATAACTAATTGAGTCCCAATTAATGTGTATGATTTCATCGATCGTTGCACTAAAGCAAAAAAAATGCTCCCAACAATCTCAACAAAAAACACCTCTAGGCCAAAATACTTGAAAGAGAAAGCAGAAACAATGATAAAAAAAGAAAATGAAGCTAATAGCCAAAATAGAAAGAGTTGGGTAGAACAACCAACATATAAAATGAAAAATCCATCAAAAAATACAACTGCCAAACCAAAATATCCAATAAAAAATGTTACAAAAATAGACATGGCACCACAATAATACAAAAATAGGCTTCCAAATTATATTGAAAGTGTAGTATATGATAATCACAATAGTGCAATAACAGGATGTAGGTCTCAAAAAATATCCTAGCATAGTTGGGAAGCATATGAATATGGTACCTAATTGAGTTTTAATTGGTATATATAATGTTATAGACTTTAAGAGGCAAAAAATGACAGTTCATAACGAAGACAATGAAATTTGGCAGAATCTGAGCTGGAATGATTCCATAGTGGTTGAAGATAGCCCGCAGCTCATGGCAGAGAGGCAGCCTCGAGCTGAAGCAAAATTGATCCCTATAAAAGATATGGTCAGGGCCATACAGAGTGGTCGCTCGGTCGTACTCACCAGTGACCAAAAACTTAATGGAGGAATCATAGATGTAGACATCCTATGACCAATTAACCTCCTCTTGAGTCATTGACGATTGTCAGGTTGCAACAATCAACCCAAAAGCTTTTGAAGAGTTTCTTAGGGCCATCAAAATAGAGTGCATAAAACATAAAGCTGGGGGAACAATGAGAAGTGAAGAGAAAATGGCAGAAGATGCATAGCTTCAATCTAACCCTCGCCCTTAAATATGGAGATATAGAAGCATAACCATCACACTAATGTAAAAAGGGAATCATACAATAACTTTGAAAACGTGCCGATAAAAAGATCACATCAACACAGAATTCGAGAAGAAAAAAATTATTTCTAAAAAATACATTATCGATAATGCTTAGAAACTAGTATGAGAGAGAATTTTTACAATGGGATTGTCTATTGATTTGGCCAAGATATAGTCCCGTTGATGCAACCTTTTATACAAAACTTCTTCCAAAATCTTGAATTGGTTCACCTGATTTGTCTCGACTGGAGTCTGGAGCATGAGACATGTATCCTATACTACCAACAGTTCCTGAGAAGAGCAACCATCTCCTCCTCCACCCTTTCTGACTTCTTCGCACGAGCTATTAGGTCGTGTATCTCCTCCTCTCATTAAATCCCTATCGACTAAGCGAATGTTTTCTTGATCTTTTCCAAATGGCAAGCCAACGGCCCTGAGGACATCCAACATCCATTAGTTGATTCCTCGCAGGCCTCGAGGATTTCTCCGGTGGTTAATCCCAACATCATCGCTCAAGTGTCTGTCACTCCCGAACGATTTATAGGCAACCATTGCCGACGCCGCGGTCAGAATCCCACCAACGTTTATCAGAGACAAGTCGTCACCCAAGCTAGTGGGCTAATTGCATTAAAATATAACGTGAAAAGAGACTTAGAAAAAATCAAAACCCAGCAAGTAATATTAATACTCGTCACACCAAGGAGTCGATCATACTAAGACAATGTCACTGACATGATGCTCTCACCGAGTGCCAGTAGAGCACCAACAACCTCTCATATTAATAGCAGTAGAGCACAAATAGCCTTTTGCATCCCAAGTGGTGGTAGAACATCAACAAGATCTTGCACGGTCTATCTAGTCAATAGGTCTTGAAACAAAGTAGATGGTGTAGGTGATAAATCAATGGTTGGGCCAGTCACTCAAATGTTTCTCCGTCGAGGATCGAGCAATGAATCAGATGAACCCAATTGATCTGCCGATGTGGCCATGTTTTTTAAACAGTGATTTTCTTCTTCTTTTTTACCTCCCAGCATTACCGTTTCTTTGGGCTCCCAAAGGTAGGATGAAGCACATCGTTGCTTGGGGGAATCGATCGAAGGATTCAACACATTCTCAATGGTTGTGCTTGGAAGTCGATTAATTTAGAAAATAAGAGATGCAAAGTAAATATGAGATTTCAAAGAGATATAACATTTTAATTATAAATATCAAAGGCACGTAAGTCGAGGGAGTTCATCTATTGAATCATTAATTAAGAAAAAAATGTTATTTATTTGTTGCACTAATATCTCTTTTTCTTAACACAATGTCTTTTTCAAGAATTAAGAGAATTAGATAATTGAAATGTGTAATATAAAGAATGGGTCGAGGTGTGAGGTTCCAACCCACCCTATTGACTCAAATCCCGTTAAGTCTGGGGGCGACCCATGCACCTAAAGATGGATTTAGTGTCATCTGCCAACTCAAAGGATGCAAAGTGATCGATCGGATCATTGCTGCCTCTGTATGGCTTTAAAGATGGAACATTGAACTTCTCAGGGAGGCCTGTACATCAATTATATGTCAAGATTATCCATTCTCTAGTCGACAGTAAACTTCCAATTGCCCTGCTTGTAGTATGTTCCTTGGGATGAACCTAACACTATCGTGGTACTAAGATTCTTCACTCGTTCGGCTCCTTGGGCTGTCTAATGGCCTTAGGGTTCGAGTACTTGTTTCGAAAGAGCTTTTGCTCTTCCCACAAGCACTACGCGGGTCAATTATGCCATCTAACTCGCTATTTAATATTGTAGTTCCTAAATTTGTTGTTGAACAAATTCTCAAGGAACATACGCTGGTCAAAGAAGGCACTACACGAATCAGAGCTTTTGCTCTATGACACGCTCATCGCAACTTCTAGAATATTGAATCACAAAATATTATTCGGGTTAGGCCTAAGGGATAAAGTGTTGCATGAAAGAGATGAACAGAGAAAGAAGATAATAGAGAGAGTAGGGCACACTATAATGCAAGTTCTCTTAGAACAAATTCAATAGTCCTCCTCGAAGAAATGACTCCCTTATTTATAAATCATAGGGTAAGCCTAGTAAATTAAATGTTTATCTCTGATTAAATGGAAATATTGTCATAATTAATAAGTCATTACACCTTTATATATTTATAACTAACGTTGGGTTCTTTTGACGCTAGTAACCATTTTTGGCATAGTTTCATATTTATAATCATACAACGTGATCAACTAATCATCATTCAACCAACTTACATTCGTTAAGCATTCGACCAACTTTTCTGAGGGAACCCCTTTTGAAGATCTTCTCATTCATAGTAAATGTTTATTTCATTACTCAGATGGCGCATCACCGTAATCTGATGGACAATCTTTTTTCAGGCAAGTGGTCTTCACATAGGATTGAAGAGTTTTACGGAGCCACCGCGATCTTCACTATGAGTGGCCTGTAATCGATTAAAGAGATGGTTTCATATGGTTGTTGCATAGGGGTGTAACATTCATTAGCTTGGATATACTTGCTTTCAATCAGCCTATGATCCAACCGCATGAGTTGATGCTCGATGGTTCGGTCTTTCGATTGTGATTGTGCGGTCTTTTAATATCCTCTATATGTGATATGTTGATTTCCTCTTGATTAATGTAGCCAGATTTTTTATGTACACTTATAAAATAAAATTTTTTGAATAATATACATTAACAAGAATATTATTTCTTTCATTAAAAATATTTCCATAGTAAGAGATATTATTAACAAATATTTGAAATCTAAATTATAATATATATTTCTTTACTTTGTAAGTGCCACCTAATTATTTCTCCATTCATTATTAGCCAGGCGTTCTCTCAACCACTCCCCTTATAACCAGGCCTCACAGGAAAGAGAAAACCCCTTTACCCACGAGGAAACATGGGAGGCGGCTCGTACGGCTTTGAATCCAGCACCAGCAAATCGATCCCGACGTCGCCGGAGATCGATGGCCTCCTAGCCGGCGTCGGCTACGCTATCCGGCCCTCTGATCTAAGCCACGTTGCGGAGCGCCTCGAGAAGTTCGATTCTGCTATGATCGCCGCCGCCGCCGCCGGATTACCGCCGGAATTTCTATGCTCCGACGCTGTACACTACAACCCCTCCGATCTCGCTTCCTGGGTTGATTCCATGTCCATGCTTACCTCTCTCTTTCCTTCCCCTACCCATCCCGCTCCCGCCCCTTGGCCGATCCAGATCTGCTCTCCTGCTGCTTTTCCTACCATCACTGTTGATTCTTTCGCTCCAGAGGACGCCAGAATCAACCTCGTTCACCTCCTAATGTCCTGCGCCGACTCGATCAATCGAGGCGATCATCCATCCGCTTCAACCCTAATCCGCGAGATGCAGATCCTGCTTCCACATGTCGGCACAGCATTCGGGATCGGAAAGGTAGCTGGCTATTTCATCGACGCCCTCGATCGCCGCCTCTTATATCGGCCTCCTCCGCCGGCGGAAGACGAAATACTCTACCGCCATTTCTACGAGTCAAGCCCCTATCTCACCTTCGCTCACTTCACTGCCAACCAAGCTATTCTCGAATCTTTCAACGGCCGTGATTGCGTCCACGTCATCGATCTAAGCCTGATGCATGGCCTCCAATGGCCCGCGCTGATCCAAGCCCTCGCTCTCAGGCCTGGAGGTCCACCGTACCTCCGGCTCACTGGTTTCGGGCCGCCGGCGGTCCGAGAGGTCGGCTGTCGGCTTGCAGACCTCGCCAGATCCGTTCATGTTCCCTTTTCTTTCACGCTGCTGGATGAAATCCAGCCGAACTTTTTTCGGTGTGAACCAGGTGAAACCGTCGCAGTTAACTCTGTTTTACAGCTCCACCGGTTCCTCTCAGACCCTGGTTCTCCCGCCCCGATCGATTCCGTGCTAGGTTGGCTCACAGCGCTCCGCCCCAGGATCATCACCGTTGTCGAACAGGAAGCAGACCACAACCGCCCCGCCTTCCTCGATCGATTCACTGAAGCGCTGTTCTACTACTCAGCAATGTTTGATTCGCTAGAATCTGCAGCTGCCGGCGCTGGAGCGGAGCTTTATCTGCAGAAAGAGATCTGCAACATCGTGTGCTGCGATGGGGAAGAAAGGGTGGAGCGGCACGAACCACTGGCAAGTTGGAGAACTCGTTTTGGCGAAGCCGGGCTTTTGCCGGTTCACTTCGGTTCGAATGCATACCGGCAGGCTAGTATGCTGCTCACGCTTTTTTCAGGTGATGGGTACGGGGTGGAGGAGATGGAAGGGTGCTTGACGTTGAGCTGGCACGGACGGTCGATCATGTCGTCGTCGGCGTGGCGCTGCGGTGGAGACGTGGTTGCGCCGCCGCCGGCGGACGATGTTTGTGTTAATAGATGGAGTGGAGGTATGAGTGGGGAGAGTAGTGGGACTGATGGTCGCGTTGGTGGGATTGGTTCGGAAAGGGGAGCTAATTTGTAAAGTATTTTTCTAAATTGTAATTCTGTTTTGTTGATTAAGCATGGTTTTTGTTTTTTTAGTGTACATTAATGATGATTTTGAAAGGATTTTAAAAAATTATCTTTGTTAGGTATGCATTTGGTGAAGTTAATATTGAAAACTCTATTTTTAATTAAATTAAAATAGATATTAATTTTTTTTTTATTTGATATTAAATGGTAAGTGACAAAAATGTGATTAGTTTTTTATACTTACATATTATGGGATCATATTGGATAGATTATTAAATTAATGCATTCCATTAATAAATTATTTGACATTTATAGCCTTGAAAAACTAAGACTTTGCCACTTAGATTTTTGTTTCATGGAGTTCTAATTTTAGTTTAGGGGGTATGTTTGGCGTAGTAGAAGTAGTTCTCTCAAGAAGCAGAAGTTGTGATTATTTTATTTATTTCCTCAAAAAGTTAGAGCTTAGTTTCCTAGCAGCACCCCCACTTAGGCTGTATTTGGGGTGGCGGTGCGATGATGCATTACAGTTTTTTTCTATTTGGCAAAATTATATTTTGTATTTGTTCTAAAAGAACTGCAATTGAAAACTGTGTTTTTCAACTAAATATGACTATTTGTGAGGGTTGATAGAAAACTACGATTAGACTTTAAAAAAAAAATTAATAGTCATCGCTATATTTTGAACATCGACTTAGTAGCTGCTTCTTCAAATAGCTGCAATTGCTCTGAACTTCAAAAAAAAAAAATTATAGTGTAGCATTGCACCGTCACCGCATCGCAGCCCCAAACTCACCCTTAGGCCCTAAACACTAAGCTCCCGTAGAAGAAGTTGTACTTCAAAAAATTACGGTGGCTATTACTATTTTTCTTTTTCGAAAGTCATATCACAGTTTTTTAGCAACCACCGCAATTGGTTAAGTCTGATTACAAAACACAGCTTTCAGTTGCAACTAAAAAAAATCCGTGATACAACATCACATCGCCGCCTCAAGGGCACTCTTAGTTTATCCTTCTTCATCAACACCCGCATCGAACACATGACCCCCATGTCCATTCACAATGAGGTTGCATTTAGCACGCAACTCTGCCATCTCAACTCACTCATGCAACCTGCCAGTCATACTAACCCCATGCATTCCTTTTTTTATGCTCTCTCATGTTTTCAAGCAAAATCACAAGGGAAGGTTAGTACGAAATCCTTCCTTGAGTAGTGGAGAAATTTTTGGGTGCGTAACCAGGTCATAGCTTTGCATCTAATTGCCAATAAGAAAGTGACGCCCAACATATTGAGGACTCACTTTATTTATTAAATAAACAGAAGAAAAAGTAAATTTTTTGAGGCTGCCAAACCAGGCCCAAATATATTATGGGAAAAAAATATCGACTAATCAAACCCGCGTCGCACCCTCTTTTGCCATTTTTTGCTAGGTTTCTCGTTCTACTTGCGAGCTTCGGAGGTGTGTCTTCGACACAAGGAAGAGAACCGGCGAGGAGAATTGGAGTCGTGTCGTTGGACCAGGTAATGTCACTTTTCAATTTTTTGTTACTTCTTATATTTGCGTGGCAGAGCATCTCTTAAACTCATTTAGTGTTTTTTAAGGGATTTTGTGTGATACCGTAGGAGCAAATGGAAGTGAAAAAGGGCAAAGCAAGGGCTGAGGAGTTTCGAGTTAAATACATAGTCCTTAACCAGTGTCTAATTGTTTAGATGTATAAACCATCATTTATCACAAAATATATTCATCTAGCACAATTTTTTTAGCATCGATTGTTCACTGTATTATTTCATACATTAAATTTGGCTCTTTTGTATTCATAGAGTTATTACTTAAAAAAATGTACTTGACTTGACAAGAATATTTTGTTCAATCTGTTAGATAACCCGAATAGCACTTCAATACCACCTCAATTCCACAACTCAACAACATTACTAATTCACTTCAATACTACATGAATATTGCCCTAATATCTCTTAAATACCACTTCAATACCACCTCATAAATGTCACACCAAAACCACACCTAACACCACCACTATTCTATTTCAATACTACATGAATATTGCCCCAAAACTGCCTCAATATCACTTCAACACCATTTCATAAATGTCACACCAAATACAACCCCAATATTATCTGAATACTGCTCCAATACCACCCCAGTATCACCCATCAATATCTATTGCCAAAAACCCCAAGACCAACGCAATACCACTCCAATACTATCCCAATATCACCACATCAACATCTTCTCCTAAAACTCTCCTTCCCACTCTAATAACACTCCAATATCACCCAAGTACCACCCCATCAATATCTTTTCCTAAAACCCCCCATTCCCACACTAATACCCCCCAAATATCACCCCGGTACCACCCATCAATATTAGTTGCCGAAAACCCCAAGACCACCCAATACCACTCCAATACTATCCCAACATCACCAAATCAATATCTTCTACTAAAACTCCCCTTCCCTCTCTAATAACACCCCAATGTCACCCAAGTACCACCCCATCAATATCTTTTCTTAAACCCCCCATTCCCACAGTAATACCCC